AACTTCTACCTCGACCACATCCACAGCTTAGTGTCGCGCAGACCCACATTCTCCGTAAAATCCAGACAAACACCCTCGTCACATCTGCTCGCCTTTACCTCTTCCGCTATCGATCAGACCCTTCCTGTCCCAACTGCCCAGCTCCCTATGCCAATCAAGAACATCGTCTCCTTCATTGCCCGGTCGCCTACACCACCTCATTTCTTCCTAACCCCCCACCACCCTCCTGGAGTGCATGGTTGGCGTCGCCGCAACTGGAAGATCAGCTCTAAAGAAATGGTTACTCTTTAATAGCGTTGATCAGAGCCGAGCCACCACAGAGATCTTTGTGACTCTGTATTCATTGCCGCTACCGTGAAGGCCTTGGACCAAATTTGGGCGGATATGTTGGTTGCATTTCTCGCAGAAATGCCGTGCCGGATGCAAAGTAACGCGAGGCGCACGTACCACACGTCACTTCCGAGGCGCCGCTGATTGGTTCAGCCAGCAGGTGAAAATTGCTGGCAGTCGCAAAAATTGGTCTCGAAGCGACTGCCCCGAACCGGTAGCTTCTGCCACTGCGGCTGTCTATTTTGCGACAAGAGTTGTTGCGTTACAGTTGCAACTTGCATGTGAGAACGCACTTTTAGTCTGACACAAGCGAAGGCGACAGATAACTGGAAAAATTTGGCAAGTATTCAAGTCGGCTAACGAACTTCAGAAATAAAACAAAACGTCCGAGGACAGCTAAGCACTTCTTGCGAGTTGTGAACGCGAAGGCATGAATGTCGTTTTTCCGTTCCCTTAGTTCGTCTGCGGCATAGTGGCTTTAGACGAGCGAGCCCGCGCTCTCGCGAGGTGGCCGCGCCGCGCTCAGCTCGGCCGTGCAACCTCTTCGGAGTTTGCCCGAGCGGGCCGTGCGGCCAGGCCCGCACCACCCCACCTGTAACCGGCGGCCGGGTCGCTGCGTGCGCTGCGCCGCCATGGAGAGGGCTTCTCTGGTGGCGTCCCTTGGAACTACCCCAATGGGAGCCTCGTTTCTTGAAACTGTGACACGCGCCAGCCAATGGGAACCTAACCAGCAGAATTCTGCTACAGAAGACATGCTTCGCTTCTTTGGGAGAGGGAAAGGTACCGTCTGGCGCGGCTTCAAAAGCTGATTGAACATTGTTTTTGAACATTGTTTTTATTTGTCACGTAAGTTTACAAAAACACAGTAACGAGCCGGGTGAATCCTCAGGGGCTTGTGTGAAGTCAGTTCGCTCTATCGGAACAGTTAATGCTCTCGCATTAAAACGAATGAAGCGCAATTCAATTCGTGTCATTTACCTCACACCCAAAACAGGCTTACTTAAAGGAGCGGTGCAACGATATTGAATTGGAATGTTTTTCACTTTACACGAGCTTACTGGCACTAGTGGGACTCAAGGATACTCGCACGCAACGCCACTGGCCATGAAACTCCTTTGTTGCGGTGTAATTTCAAGGACAAAATCGATCATTTTCATTCAATCTCTCCTTTGCAAAATTTGATGACGTAACGTGGGGATTGAAGTATTCCCAAGTGACGATATTTGAATGCGGTTCACAGATTGGACCCGAGCATTGCGTGGGCACTTGATTTGGGCTCGTAATATTTACTAGCTCGAGAAGCATTCGGGTAGTGGCCCGTGTCCAATCGCTGCAACGACGACAGTGAGCCGAGCCATAACAATGTCTAGAACTCAGCGCGTGTCCTGTGCTTTGCCAACCCCAGCGCGTGGCTATGATCAACATTGGCGGCATATAATCGGCTCCAGATCACGTGGCCGCTTGTTCTGGCTGCGAGTTGAGGTGGTGAACGCTGCTCGTTTTTCTTTATATTTTTTTTTTTTATGACATCTATTGCGTGGGGTGAAAAACGAATTCGTGTTTCATAGGTCATTAACGTCAGGGATCCGTTTTAAGAGGTATTTGCGTCAAGCACAAAAATTGTTGCATCGCCCCTTTAAAGAAGCCATTTGAAGTGGTAGTGAGTGCAAAAAGCCCTTGCGCGATGCACTGAGAAAGACGGCCCAGGAAGCCGCGTCGGTAGACAGCGCCCGTTTCTTGTCCACCCCGAGGAAACGGCTCGAACTTGGAAGGCACGCAGGTGGCGTTAAGCCGGCACTTCTCGCCACGCTCGGCCATCGCGCGAGCGAGGACCGCAGCCAAACACGCTACCAGGGTGACGCGCCACCACCATCGGCACGGCAGAGCTACCGGAACTGGAGAAAACCGACTGCTCAGAGCACAACTCGCACACCACAAGAAATGGACAATTATTCGATATCGTAGAACATTCCAAAAAGCAGTCCGCTGCCGGTGACGGAGAACCAAAACACGTTTGCAAGTCCGGTCTCAGAGCGCCGCCATCTTCCTCAGTGGGGTGCGCTCTTTGGCGCGGCCATAATCCGATTACGACGCCTTAGCAAGGCTTCGTAATTGGATTGCAGCGCGTCCAAGCGCACCCGAGCCAAGCAAGATGGCAGCGCCCTGAAGCCGGACTTGCAGAGGTATATAGACCGCGTGAAGGTCGCCATGTTGAATATGACGTAGCTGGGTTGGGCGACTAAACGTAACGCAAATAGTTCAAGTGTAACTGCAATAAAAAGCATAGACAAGATAGAAGTAGAGCGAATGGCACGAACGCCTTCAATCCTAGCGTCTTCGATTTCGCAAATACAGTGATTTGTTGTTTCGCCACAACAGCTACTTCAAAATTCAATATGGCGGCCGTAACGAAACAACAATCGCGTAAGATCTCTAGGGGAGCCACACTTCTAATACGAGCTCGTTGCCATCTTCGTGCTTGGCTGCGCGGGCTCGCAAAATTCACAAGTGTCCGGAGGTAGAAAGGTTGCGCTGGAGGCTTCGGGGACGATCATGCACCCAACTTGGATCGTCTCTATTGTCGAGTGTTAGCAAGGACAGGAGTAAAAAATAACGGTTCTCTCTGCTCAATTTTTTTTTTTTTTTTTTTTTTTTTTTTAGATAATGAAGTATTTGTTTGGTAGAGAAAGGAGTGCTCTTTAAGTGCTTGCGCTTTCATTTTCCCGGTGCCTTCAAGCTTGGTGTCACACGCACCCTGCGCTGGCTTTACAGACTAAAGAAAGGCGAGATTTTCTCGCTTTCGTGTTTCGGAGGAAATCTACCCGACCGCAACACCTGAAAATCCTGGCGTCAGTAGATTTCAACTGTTGCAACCGCTAAAAGTACGGATCGTCGGATGCAAGCTCACCGCTTTGTTCGGACGAGCCCAGGATGCGCCATAGGCAGCGCCATAGGCAGCGCCATGTTAAGGCCCTAAAGCTGCTTGATAAAATTTACGACTCGCACTCTTCCGAGTACGGACCACGCACTGATAACTATTGCGGAAATGCGTGAGACACGAGCTTTGCCACCGTTTGCTTTCAGGTACGTTGCCTGCAAAGAGTTTGGCGTCCTACTCGAAGATGGTACCGAAGTGGCAACAAATGACGTCACAAAAGCTGGAGTGGCGTGCTCTCGGACGTCGCTATCCTGGTGGTTGGCCGCAGAAGCTCTGGAAGAAAGCAGGAGGGAGTGTGGCTGCCGTCGTGGCGTCACAACTCCTGACTGCCGAAGCTTCCGTGGATTGGCGAGCCGGACAGCGCCCTGTATCAGAGCAGGCGTCTGCCCCTTCTATCACCCCTGCGGTGACACCGCCAAGATCGCGGTCGGCGACAATACTTTTGTAACATCATCAAATCGAGGGACTACTTTTTCGAACGTGGTAAGCACACCAGTTGGAGACGCGTCCCGACCACCGTACTTTCAAGTGTCGCTCTTCACGCTGGACATACACAAACACAATACGGGGCATCATGTGTCCGGCCAAACGTTACCCTTCTTTATGAAAAAAAAAGCTCGTTACGCTTGTGAATCCACATTGTCGGACGCCGAAGCCAGCTGCATGGGGGCTGCATGAATCCGATCAGCAAGTGTTACACACGCGCCCAGAAGCGCTTTGCTATTAGCCGCCATAGAGGTGGGTATTTAGCGCTCTATTATCCACGAAATAAGCGTGCTGCGGTAAAACTTAGAACATCGGTAAAATTTCATAATAGGACGTAATTCCTCGACGCCATTTGTGAGAGCCATGTTTAGAGCGCATGCTCATAATCAGCTTGCATGAATAGGCTGTTAAAACCGGCATTCTTGATGATGCGGAATGCACGTTCCAAAAGAACTTGGGAAGCTAGCCGTCAGCACGCACGCCATGTTTACAAGCATGGTGTCCCCAGTAACGTTGCGGCGTCCCGACTGGTGGCCGATGGGTGCCAGCACGTGCAGCATGCTTGAAATTGAAATTGCACGTGCTTCCTTCAACTTGAAATCGCACGTTCTTCCTTGCACTAGAAGGAACATGGCGGCGATCAGATGCCGCGTTTGCAGTCGTCTGTAGGTGGTATGCAGGGGGGGGCAATATCTGTCTGCTCGGCTGCTGAGTGCGTGCTGATGGCGAGCTTCCGCAGTTCTTTAGCAACGTGCATTCCGAACCATCGAGGTTGACGGTCTTAGCAGGCTAGTAATAAGAGCTCGTTCTGAGCATACGCTCCAAACATCGCCCTCAAATATAGCGTCCAGTTGATATCCCTTTCCGCTCAGCGTGGTGATTCATAACGCCTATACCGATCGACGTTTGTTTCATCTTCCGTTCAGATTAGGGTGCCTTCACGTGCGCTTGGCTTAGGGTGGAGACATCTGGCCATTTTGTCTCACACTTTTATTTTTAGTTTTTGTTCAGAAGCGCGTGAAGGAACGTGTCCTTGCACGCGCTCGTGGCGCTGACTGTGCTACGGCGACATTTTGTTTTCGTCGATTTCTTTGTATTTTACCCGTGAGCGCGTGCTGTCGGCATCGGGTACTACAAAGGGTGGCATCACCCTTAACAGAAGGACATTGAGGCACCCTAGTTCAGATATCTTTCGTAAAAACTAAAAAAAAAAATATTAAAACAGGTTTCTTCCATCGTGATCGCAATGAAAAAGAACGAGCAGAAAAAGACGAAAACGATGTTATTGCGGGAACTAAAAAGCACGAAACACGACGTGAACGCCATTGGGAAAGCGAATTGCCGCACTAGAGGAAGCGCCATGCAGCAACGCAGCCCCTTCCGCGAAGTTCATGGAAAGATGAGCAGGCGTCTGCTTTGCCTGGAGTGCATGCGCACCGTCGACCTGTGCGTGGGAGCCCCGGCGGTGCCGTGCACCGCTTCCCGTGGTCAGATGAACTCGTTTAGCCGGAAGGTATTTGGCGAGCCGCTCTGGGAGGAGTGCCAGCCAGAGCGCTACACCAACCCCGGGGGTGGGGCTCGGTCTCGGCTTCAAGTTCAGCTGCTTCGGAGCGAAGGAATTTTCGGAAGGACGGGTGGCGCGAGCGCTTGCTGCCGCCTGTGGGTCGAAGATGGCGGCTCAAAGGCGGCCCCGCCAGTTGTTCGGAAATGGAGAGCCAACTCTAGCATCGTGTTCCTTGTGGAACTGGACGATCCGTCCTCCAGCAGTCTGGTTCTCGAGCTGTGGGCGGGGGACCCGGCTGACGTGCGGAACACTCCGAAGACGCTGCATCGATCCTTTGGACTCTTTGTTCTGTCACTGGGACACAGCGTGATCGGCTACTTTAAACCCGCTAGAAAAGAGCTTCTCGGTCGAATAGAAAAGCGTCTTCAAGATATATCCCTTTCCGGCTCGGAAGAATGGCATCTCCTACGCGACTCGGTTGGCGCTGTCCTCGCGAACAGAGTCCAGCTTTCTGTCAAAGTCCGGGTTGGCGTAGCCGCCAATTTCAGCGTGCTGCACAGCATACGGAATCACTACGCACTCAGTTACGCCTTCCTGGAGTACAGAGTCGAACACTCGGCCGAGAGCGACGTTTCCGAGTGGACAAGCTGGCTCCACTGCGTGGGCAGGGAAGCCTTCAGCCTCCTTCGTCACCATGCCACGCAGAACAACATCGAAGACACGGAGGCCAACTACTGTCACCTGCTCGCCTTGACGGAGCACCGGATCAGGGTCAACACTCAGATCAGCTTTGCCGTGATGCTCCCGCTGTTGAAAGAACTGCAGCTCCAGCTTGTCGGGAAAAAACGCGCCTTCGTAGCTGATGCTTTGGAACTACTGCTTCGAGGACTGTCGGATCACATTAACGTCCAGCTTGCGAACCTGCATGACCAGTTTTACTTGCAGTATGAGCGACACGTCATGGACCTGTCTGCGGCGCTCTCAATCTGCGGGTTGATTCAGCTGACCGGACACGTGCGGGCAGTCGATTCTGCTCGAGACGCCCTGCGGAAGAACGAAGACAGGTGGTACGCGAGCCTCTCCGAAGACTGGGACAAAAACACGGCCCTCGTCAACCTAGCGTCCACCTTGAACAAGATCCGAGACCACCAAACGAAAGCAAATGAAATCTTTTTGCGAGTTTGGAACGAGACATACACCAACATCGTAATTAATCAGCTCGACGACTTCTTTGTCGAGAACATTCGTCCTCGTGTTGAACGCCTTGTCGCAGACGTCAAAACCGCTCACGGCAAAAATGAGGATCAAATAGTGGCGACTTCCAAAGACACCTTTACGGTGGTAAGCAACTTCCTTCGTCATATCATTCCACTGGCTAAGAATAACGAAGATGTCGAAATGAATAAGTATCGCGAATGGTTTGGTGTGGAAGTGGTCGAACGCTGGTTCTGTCTAGCCTCTCGCGCGAACCACAGCGTCCTGGGGTTCGTAGCCGAAGACGACCTGCTTCCTACGAACGTTAACGTCAAGTACAGCTCGTCGTTTGCTCGAACCGTGGACGCGATCAACGAAAACGTCGTCTCCCTGTGGCTGCAGCTCGACTGGCCTGTGCAGGAATGCGCCAGCTTCTTCGTCGAAAGCGTCCACAAATGGACTTGGCTGTATGCGATAACGATCCAGGAGAAGGTTCGAATGGAGCCCGTCCACGGGATGGTCAGCCTACCAGCCAGGTTGTGCGTAGCCATCAACGACCTGACAGCCACAGTGACGTACATTAATGGGGTTCGCTCCAACATTGTCGAGACCTTTGCCGCCTCGTCGCAGACGTTGGAGGCGTTCCACAAGGTCGACGCGAAACTTGAACGAGCGATACAACAGGTAAACGTGTCCAAGAACCACGTCCAAGACATAGCCGTCCTGGGAGTGCTGCCGCACATCGAACAGCGACTGGAAAGCATCTTGTACGCATCGTCCACAGTGGCTCAAGAAAAAGGCATGGAACTCATGCTGAAGCAAGTGACTGCTTGCCTGACAATGCTCCGAGGGAATTTGGAGACCGACGCTTTCGATGCAATACTCCGATCCTTCTGGGACAAACTCACAGCGCTGCTAGTGCGGCTGATCAACAGGCTGAAGACGTGGACACAGCTCGATCCGAGAGCGCGGTCGAGGCCCTACCTTGGAATGTCGCTGGCCATACAACAGCTTGCAAGCAGTTTCGCGATTAATGGATGCGGCCTTCCGCTGCGGGATATTGCGGCCGACGTTGCTGAGCACCAGCGGGACCTCAGGCAAGCTTTTCAAGTACCTGGTGACGCCGGTGACGCTTAGGCTGAGAAATCTGCTCCCCCTTCTCCATGGCCGCGTCTCTGTTAAAGCGCCCGACCGCGGTGCTGTTGTTCAAATACCGTTCAGATTAAAACCTCTTTGTGCCACGAACTTTGAGTTTAGCATTTTCACAAAGTATAGAATAAGCGATAACGTTCCGTACTTTGTACTGGTGATTCCGCGACGCTAAATAATTTAAACAAATGCAACTGTAAATGTCTGAATATTCGTTACAAAATGCTTACACTAAGAAAATATAAAAACCACTAGTTATGAGAACACGGATCATTTTGAGAAGTAGATGGTAATCCAAAATAAAAATTGCTTTTGCCTAAAATTATTTTTCTAGTAGATATCATCGAATATCAAGCTTGGCATCTGCAGTCTGATGGCACGCTCTAAGTAAGTGACGGAACCAGATTGCGATGTGGATGGTTGAGCCTGTTGGTGTTTAAATTACGATAACGAAAGAGTGACATGAAAAGTAATTCAGATTGTGAACTCGTGTTGTTGTCGATGCTCACAAGAGCTTAAAACTTCAAATAAGGGACAGTACTTCTGTGCTTTCTCATTTCTGATCAATCACACGTTAGCATCGACAGGAAGTAGAATTACATACGAAGGCAAATTAAATTTCGCATCAACGGCGTCCGACATGTAGATATTTATTATTATGCAAACTCAGCACGTGGACGATCATATTGCCACGCGCGTCTCCAACCGCACTAAGCTTTAATGCCTGCGCCTTAATCTGCTTTGGGGACACTTGCACCCGCTTGCGGTTCTTACTCATGGCGGTACAGGCTTTTTTATTATAGTGTTCTTCATGCATCAATACAAAAGATCCTTCCTTATCAGCCTTTAGAACGCGAAGGTGATTGTCAGCCAAAAAAGAAAACAGAGGACGGGGATCATAGGTATGAGTATGGGTGCCATCAAGAGCGTCAACACATTCATGAATACAGCGCAGTTAAACATCTTCATTGACCTTGTATGCGTGTGGTAGAAGCTATGTGGGCCAAACTGGACGGTGCCTAAACGATCGCCTTCTCGAGCATGATCGTTCACTGAAACCTATGGTGGCCGGTCACCTTCCCGTTCATTGCAATTCCTGCTCGTGTGCTCCAATTCTTAAAGTCACAACAATAATTGGACACTATCGAGACAAGACGACTCGCGAAATCTTGGAAGCACATTGCATCAACAGCCTGGGGGACTGCTGCGTCAGCCACCCATCAGTGACACTGCTACAAACCGAAACCTTGCTTTTAGATCGGACTATGGGGCAAAGACATTGTAGTTAAATGGTGTTGTGTCGCGTGTGACACGGACTGCGTGCCCTGCGTGTCCTTCAGAACGCCCTCTTCTTCTTCCTTTTGTGTATAAATTCAGTTACGAGTCAGCGATTGTGTGTCGTGCATGTTCCTTTTCTCTGTCCTTGTCTTTGTTTGCGCTGTTTTGTTCATCATGTCATCATACCAACTCGCCCAACTTACAACACTTCTGCTTCGCCATATTGCATGCAGGCCCAGGAGCATAACAAGGTCAGTTGGGATATTATTATCCCTTTTGACGGGAAGGAACCGAATGCCACGCGGAGTTAAAGGAAGGTCCTTTTTAAGGGGATTCAACCGCTATTTATTTGTACCCTTTTCCTCATAGATGGCGCAGAATTTTTCCGGAACAAACGGGTTGCATGCTTGCAGCTGCGCATGCAGGTCGGGCTCTCGAGGTGGGCTCGGGCCTCGGGCTGTTCGCCGCCCACCTCGAGCTAGATCTTCGCTCTGCGTCCGCCGCTGCAGGAAGCGGCCAAGGGGCGGCGCGAGATACGAGTCAGTACATACGCAGATTATTGTGGCTTACATAACGTTGAACAAGCTCTGATTTCCGAATAGATTCGAAGTTCCAATCACGTTCGAAGTTATCGAAAGCAGAGGGTGCGGCGTTGCGGCATTTTGGACTACCAAGTTTAGCACGCAAACGTTGTCTTGCGAGAAAAAAAAAAATATATATATATATATTTTAGAACTAAATTTAAAGCTAGAAATATTTAAAAAAATATATATATAAATAAAGCGGCAGTTTTGCTCTTCCTATGTCCTATATCTGCCCGCTCTTCGTCTGAATACTTGTTTGAAAACCCGCTCCCAGGAGGTGTGGAGTAAACCCTAGTTCACTGTTCTAGTTCACTGTTATTCTAGTTCACTGTTACAGTGAACTAGAATATAGACGCTTTTCAGCAGCCGTGCATGGACGCTGCCATAACTGACCTTCAGTTTTTGTTTCCTCTTATTCCGTTTATTTCACTTCATCATTACCATAGCAGGCCACGTTATTGCCATATTAGATTCAACTGTGTCCCTTTCTAAAGCATCGGCCTTTGTAGAGGATCGTCAACTACCGTTTCAGTTGCTCGGCATCTCGATGAGACAAGAGAAGGTCAGCAATGGCGGCTGTAATTTGGCGCGTGTGTAAAGCGTCTATACACGTTTGCAAGAAAGGCTCCTGTGCGCTGCCATTTTGAGCGATGCTGGCGCCCCGTACCGTTTCCGCCATGCTGGGGTGCGCCAGGGGCACGTCATTGGGGTGCGCGATGACAAGATGGTGCCGTTTGCTGCATCGCCGATGGCTAACGTTAGCGGCACACTTACTGTCTCGGAACGCAGGAGGAGGTATCCACACAGAATCGTAGCGTCACATATTGTAGGACGGGGCATCTTTAAGGGTTGGAGTTGACTTTATAACGATCGCAGCCTCTGTTCCTGCATGTTGTGGAAGCCATGCAAGGAGGTTAGAAGTACTAGGAGGGGGCACGTTGCAATATTGGTGAAGCCTAGTCACAAAAAGTTTAAACGATTCTGTGCCCAGCGTGACCGCAGATCTCTCTGGCGATTGGTGCGCGTGACATGTCACGTGCGAGATGGATGATTGATTGTAGAAGGACTCCTTGCAGGCTTGCGCGCGCTCCGTCCGGTAGGTTTTATCAGATAGAAGGCTAGACTATGGTGTATTCTAGTAGCCTATAGTAAGACGAAGGCTAGCTACGGTCACGTGATGTGGTCACGTTGGCATGGTGAGTGAGGAGAGTAAGGAGAAAAATGAGAAAGAGGCGAGGCGTCAAGGGAGCATGGCTTGTGGAGGCTACGCGGCCGACGTCATGCCCTCTCCTACCCTTCTATTCTCCATGAAGACATGGAGCTGCCGCGAGGGCAGCCATCGTTGATGCAAAGGCCATGCGACTTGTGGCGCATTCTGAAGAGCGCCTTGAGACTATAGATATTTTTGAAATTTTTCGATTTGTTACCGGTTTAGGCATTCTATTTAATTGTCCGTGCTCCTTCGCGGTCGAAGACGACACGTGCACGCTTTATAATTATTTTGTAAATTTATTTCTGCGCTCAGTGGTGTACGCTTCGGCGAGAGACGCTTGGCAACATTGTACGACAACCAGCGAACGTCCTGGCTGGAGAGTAGGTCCGCCTCACCTTGGCGCGCGGTTCGAGGTTAAGCCGGAATCCCACTTGCAAAGGTGTATAGGGGCAGCGGAAAAAGCGTCGGCAGCGCCCCTTCGGCCGTGTGAAGCCAGAAGCAACGTTGGCCAGGAGTAGACTGCCGCGAATGTCGCTGTTGTCGAAATCCGGAGGACATGGCTATCTGTAACATGTGATATGGCGTCGCGTGCGTTTTCAGATGGCTTCTGTGGTGTCTATGGTCGTTTTCGCAATTTGTTTTCGTGAATTTCAAGTGCTTGCCATTGTGATTACGTAGGTCCGAGTCTTGTCGCTGAGCAATGAAAACGAAGAGAAAGAAGACCGATGTGCACCGCTACGCGCCAGCATGCAACACTGCTTACCCCGGTTTTCACTGCATTGCCTAAGTAAGCTCTAAACATTAATTCATAGACGTTGAAACACCCATAAAACATACATAGGCCACACTAATGAACCGCTAAGATCAAAAACAGCTACACTTGGCGCGAACTTCGCCGGCAGGAGTGTTCCGAAATCGAACACCAGCGCTACCTGGTAGGTTCTACGCGAACCGCCTCACCTGCAGGTTCACTGTACCTCTATAGGGTGCCTCAATGTGCTTCTGTTAAGGGTGGTGCCACCTAAAGCCCCTCGATATGTTTCCGTTTGTCTTGCAAGTAGCGTCGAACGCGCGAGATCACCTGGCCCGTGTCTCGAGCGGCCCTTGGAAGCAAATGGCGGCGCAGCACTGGAATGAGCGGCCCTTGGAAGCGAATGGCGGCGGAGCACCCACTCATGGCACGTGTCTCGCGCGTTTCCACAACAATGGTTGGCGGTACTTGTAAAAAACGGCTTTATCAAGGGGCTTTAGTGCCACCCTTTGTAGTACCCGATGCCGACAGCACGCGCTCACGGGGAAAATAAAAAGAAATCGACGAAAACAAAATGTCGCCATAGCACAGTCAGCGCCACAAACGCATGCAGGGGCACGCTCTTTCACGCGCTTCTCAACAAAAAATACAAATAAACGTGTGGGACAAAATGGCGAGATGCCACCACCCTAAGCAAAGCGCACATGAAGGCACCTCATACCTCTATCGTGGGAAAAGTAGCGTCATTCATTGTTGTGGAAATGCTCGAGACACGTGCTGCGCGCCACTTCTGGGAAGAACATAGCGCCTGAAATCTAACTCAGTGCTAGAGTTTACTAGAAAGAACGAGTGGGGCCACCGGAGTGCTTTTTTTGGTATCTCCGCATGTGGAAAAAAACGGATAATTCAAGCCACTTCGCCCGTAGCGCCCTCTCGGGCACTACGAGCGAAGTGGTTCGGATTATCCTCTTTTTATGAAAAACGCGTTTCGTTCCAACGCCAAGCTCGACCAGCACACTGGTCAAGGCCATAGAACCGATAGAACGCCGGACTTTACTTTTTATACAACCTAGACGTCAGGCGTCACGTACATAAAGTCACCGCGACATGACTTGTCGTCACAACGCCATGCGACATCAGGACGGCGCCTTGACGTCAACGTCGTCATCGACGTTGACAACGTACGTTACCCGACATCAAGACTGCGCTCTGACGTCATATTCCGTTGACAACGACGACGATGTCAACGTTGACGACGACGACG